AAGCTAGGTAACTGCATGCCCCTGCATGCCCCTGCATGCCACATTCTCCTATTTCTGTTTACTTTTTCCTCGTACCTGATCACAATTTCTAGGCCCCTCCATTTTACTCTCCTCTGCTAATGAGGTTTCCTGTTTGATTGTGTGGGATTCTTTTGATTGTTGGATTATGGGTAAATTAGTATGGTAACTAAAACGGTACCTTGAATAATAGTTAAATCCCCCCTCTTATAATATTGTAAAGCTCTATGGAATCTGTTGGCGCTATATAAATGGCAATAATAATAATAATAATTGCCAAAGATTGCCAATCATCACACTCTATTACAAAAAGGTGACTTAAAAATGTGTAAAATGAGGAGAAACAAAGGGTCAAAAGGATTAATGTATATAAGAAAATATTGCGAAGAGATAGTATCACTTTAAGAAAAGGAAATTATGACTATAGAGGAGATCTGATTTTTAAAGCTTGGTTAAATTACAAAACAAGGGTCATACTTTAATAAAAATATGGCAGTATGAAGTAATTTCTTAAAGAAATATTTGAAGTGTAAAATGACAATAAAGTAAGATATTAACATTAAAAGTGAAATTAACAGGTAGCATTGAAAAAACTGTTATTTAGGATTGAATGCAATCTGGTCAGTTTCTAATTAAAAGAGCAACTGTCTAATTTTTTTTATGAAAGATGCACATTATTTCATTAGGAAATTTGAAATATGGGAAAGGCAAGAATAGCATGTTTCAGGAATACAATTAAAGGAATTATAAAACATTGGCAGGATTTTGGCCTACATTAACAATTCAATTATTGTGAAGGTGCATCTTTGGCTTGACCATTCTGGCTTGGTTATGTTTCCTTTTAGTATTCAGGATAAACTGCTCTGTGTTTCTTGTTTACAATTTATTTTAACCCCGCAAGAACTTATTGTAAGAAACAAAATGCAGATGTAGCACTGAGGACACGTTTCCATTTAGGAAAATCTAGTTGGCTGATATAAAATGAAGAAATAGATATTTTTTATATGAAGCACATAGAATTAATTTCCTATGTTGTCACCAACAGGGTAATTCATTAAACAAGTTTTACCAAAAAGCTAATTGAAGTGCACTAATACAAAATACCTACACATATAATTTTTTCTGGTTTTATCTTAATTCACTAAACACCAGTTTTTGTCTAGAAGGACACAAACCAGTGAAAATTGACAAATTTCACCCTGAATGACAATTCTCATATTTACTAAAACCAAGTCCAGTCAGAATTTGGTCAGTCTGACCATGGTAGATGTAATCCACAACATCTGAAGGGCCGAAGGTTGCCTATCCCTGTCATAGAGCATCGATTTACAATGCCTAGAGTTTGAACTCATCTAGCAGGATGCATGTTTTACAAATTATCATTCACTTGCTTTTTGCATGCAAATAATAATTTGAAGTATTATTTGTGCTGGCACTGACAGTGGGAAATATTTCAGATTTTTAACAATCCAGAACCGAATTTCTGTTGCCTGGTAGCGTTCGGTCCGATTCAGACCATTCTGAGTCTGGTTTCCAAAACCCGACATTGTTAGATAGTAAGCACAATGTCCGTATTTTACATTCCAAATTTCTCTGTACAGCACTGGATAGTTTTGCCCCATTCGGACAGTTCATACTCTAGATCAGTGGCTCCCAAACTTTTTAGGTTCATGGCGCCTTAATATTTCAATATTTTTCTAAGGCGCCCCAAGTCAAAACAATTATCTAGATTGTATATATGTACAGTGCTGCAATATATTCTGGGCCCCTGATTGGCAGAAATGCTTGCCGTCCAGGGGAGGGGCACTGGTAGATTATTTAAAGAAACAATCCAGGCACAATAACCACTACATCACTTTGTAGTGGTTATGGCGCCAGTTTTGCCGTAGTGCCCTCACGTGGTAAGTAGTCAAACTGTTTAAGAATAGTTTGACAACTTACCTGGGATCTGCCGGGATAGGGGCTGTAGTGTGTGTGTGGTGCAATATCTGTGTGATTGAGTGGTGGAGTGTGTATGTTAGGGTTGCAGTGTGTGTGTGTGAGGGTTGCAGTGTGCATCTGTGTGAGGGTTGCAGTGTGTGCATGTGAGGTGTGCAGTGTGTTTTTGAAGGATCTAGTGTGTGTATGTGTGAGGGGTGCAGTGTGTACATGTTGGCCAGTTTGTGCGTGAGGGGTACAGGGTGTGTGTGAGGGGTACAGTATGTGTGTGGGGGGCAGTGTGTGTGAGAAGTACAGTTTGTGTGTATGGGGGGTAAATGTGTGTGTTTGTGTGTGTTTGTGGGAAGGCAGTGTGTGTGTATGGGGGGTAGTGTGTGTGTATGGGGAGATGTCTGTGTATGGTATAGCAGTGTGTGTGGGAGTAGGAGGGCAAATTCATATATATATATTTTCAAAAATTAATTTAAAATAATCATTTTCATATCCCTTCTCCCTGTTTACCTTTGCCTGGGACGGGGGCAGTACAAGGCAACCCTGGTGGTCCAGTGGAGAAGCCCTGGTGGTCCATGTGGTGAATATAGAAAGAATCTGAAGTAGAAGAAAAATAAAACTCATAGTGTGGTATAATTAATACACCATATTGTGGTATTTAAGATTGAACTCACAAACATGTATTGATTGTAGGAATATCACATGTTTAAAGATGGCAAAGAGACTCCAACGCGATAATGGGCATGTAAGAGAGATTGAAAACAAACAATAAGTGCAGACTTTTGTAAACTTTATTCTACGCTTTAATTCATAACACTTACAGGATCGAAGTAGTATATAGGCATATCGAATCCCAAATGTTGTAATCACTAGTGGCAGTCCGCAAATTGTCTCTGTGAAGAAAAGGAAAACCGCTTATTCAATTAACAGAAATGTATTAGGTATATTAAAAACCAAAAATAAAACAAAATAAACAATCAGACAAAACCCTCTACAGTGGCCCAACCCTACGTGTTTCGTCCAATTAGCGTTCAGACTTCCTCAGGGGTAAAAATGATTGTTCAGTTTTTCGTGTAGTAAATCCTCCATTTGCTGCCTGGCTCTGTTTTAAATCCAAGGATGCCACTCCCACGGCTGCCATCAGCCTATCCGCGAAGAGTGGCCGCAGGTGTAGCTCGTTTTTTTCCAATTGCTCCCAAGCCTCACTTTCATTTGCAATTCGGTTCTGCATGCGTGCCCACGCAATGCTTATGTGTTCCATTAGCCAGGAGACCGAGATCAGGGCTGGCCTTAGGTGTTCCAGCGCCCTGTGCGAGCCCCCCCCCCACCTAAACATACACAAAGTGGAAAACAGTCTTTGTAACAAACTGTTTTTTAATTACAGATAATTTAAGTGCAAACAAGTACAATAATAAATAACTGGATTGACTGGTAACAATAATGTATATTAAATACACAGAACTCTCCACGATACCGGCTATAGACCTATCAGGTCCACTCTGACACCCACCCCGCACAACATTACATGAGAACCCGGGGGACACTCTAGCTACCTGCTCCCCTCAGGGATCTACACGTGAACACAAATAGCCCTCATTACCTACCGATTAGCACTATTCCCCTATACCAAACACACAAAAGGGCGCAATATTCTTAAGCCACATAATTGTATGTAACTGCCTCCGCTTAGACCGCACCAGCCGAAGTGGCGATGCTTAATATCGACATTACACAAACTAACAAGTTAATGATATGGAAGGAGAGCACACAGCGATCCCCCACAGCTAGGTCAGGCACTGAATAGTCACTAAGCCCCCTCGGCATATGCCCTGACCAACCTCATAATGCCGATTAACCCCCCCCACGTATAAAGTGGGTGCAGGGTTGGTCGGCTGTAACGTACAGCAACCTATTGTACATGCTCCACCAATTATGATCAGGTTTATTTCTGTTGATAATGTTTGTCTTTGTTAGAAACATAGCCGACTGAACCTGTATTGCCTTTCTGCTCCATAAGCATAGTTGATAGGCTCACAGGAACTATACCGGCTGCTCATGAGGTTATCTTGTTATCTAATATAAAAATGCATGAAAATTCAAGCCACTAATTAACCCGCACGCGTCTGCATAACTACACTGTTGTGGCATCTTGACGAAGCTATTGTGGCTAACACAAATGAGCTACACTCTAATGTATATTTTTACCTAGTTAACAATGTGTTTTTCTTTTTAAAATATAAAAACGTGCGAACTATTAATGCCACTGTTAACTTTATGTTTAAATGTGTATGCACGCTGTTGTGGCGTACGACTGCGCTTTTTTATCACCTGCACGACAAAAATAAAGAATTTAAAAAAAATATATATATATATATTAAATACAGAAAAAAACAGCTAACTGCAATCTTTTGAACATTGTTTTTTTAGAGATAATATAATGTGCAAATGCAATAATAACTGTGAACCCTGGTAAACAAAATTTACACCTCCTGACAAGTAATATTAAACGAACACTATAGTCACCTAAATTACTTTGGCTAAATAAAGCAGTTTTAGTGTATAGACCATTCCCCTGCAAATTCACTGCTCAATTCACTGTCATTTAGGAGTTAAATCACTTTGTTTCTGTTTATGCAGCCCTAGCCACACCTCCCCTGGCTATGATTGACAGAGCCTGCATGAAAAAAAACTGGTTTCATTTTCAAACAGAGGTAATTTACATTAAATAATTGTATCTCAATCTCTAAATTGAACTTTAATCACATACAGGAGGCTCTTGCAGTGTCTAGCGAGCTATTAACATAGCAGGGGATAAGAAAATCTTAATTAAACAGAACTTGCAATAAAGAAAGCCTAAATAGGACTCTCTTTACAGGAAGAGTTTATGGAAGGATGTGCAAGTCACATGCAGGGAGGTGTGACTAGGGTTCATAAACAAAGGGATTTAACTCCTAAATGGCAGAGGATTGAGCAGTGAGGCTGCAGGGGCATGTTCTATACACCAAAACTGCTTCATTAAACTAAAGTTGTAAAGTGTCCCTTTAATCTGATGCTCAAAATACAACTTTACGTGCTTTTGCCTTTGCAAACTCATCAATCACGCTGTTCATGTCCAACGTCTTCAAAACATCGCTTTCAATTGATAATACTGATAAAGAGGTTAGTCTGTCATCAGTCAATGATGATCTCAGATATGTTTTAATGAGTTTTAACTTGGAAAAGCTGCGTTCTCCTGATGCCACAGAAACAGGAATTGTTAATAGAATCCGAAACGCTATCCAAATGTTTGGAAATGTGTCAGTCAGGCCATTTCTCACTATGAAACTGAGTATATGGCGGGGTGCTGTGGCATCTTGAGGTAGTAGGTTTTGAATATGCCAAAGCTCCTCTGAAAGATCTAGACCATTAATGTCCGATTGGCTGCTCTTCTCTAATGCCTTCTGTAACTGCAGGCAACAATCTCTTAAGTTTTCTCTTGCTGGAAGATGTCTCATGTTGTATAGAAATCTCCATACTTTGTTGTGTTGTTCCATTTGAGTAAAACGCTCCTCCAAAGATTTAGCAGCAGTATCAACCAAAACATAAAAAAAATCAATCTTAAATTTCTTCGTGGGATCGGTTAAAGGTTCATCTTGGCTTTCGTAATCAAACAAGGCTTTTTTTCTGTGGATACGAGAAGGCTTTTTAAAAAGAGACTCCACATTCACTTTTTCTGCTAGTTCCTTTGCAAGCTGGAAGGAGCTTTCAAATCCAGACTCTCTGAAATGTATTAAAAAATTGTGACATTTCTGGATAAGGTTTGAGACTAAAATGATATCAGCAGCTTCATTCTGCATAGCTTTGCTCACAATATTAACTTGGTACAATATCTCATACCAAACACACAATGACACAATAAATTTGAACTCCACAATCTGCTGAGATAGTGTGTTAGCCTCATGACAAATGTTCGGTTCAGTGTGGGTTTCATCAGACAAAACAATTAGTGCTTCTTGTATTTCACCGAGATTATGTCTTAGCGGTTTTAGACAATTTATACGGCATTCCCACCGCGTGGTGCACAAAGGCTTTAAAGTGAGGCCAGAAACGTGGTCAGACAAAATTTTCCATCTCTTTACGGATCCTGAGAATAGAACATAAAGGCGCTGAATGATCCCAAATAGTAGCATCGATTCCTTGCAGGAGCGTACTGCATCTCCAATGACAAGATTAAGACAATGACAGCCACACGGTACAAATACTGCTCTTGGGTTTATGTTTAAAATTTTGGACTGAACTCCGTTGTTTTTTCCTGCCATATTGGCTCCATTGTCATAACCTTGTCCACGACAATTATCAATGTCCAAATTTTTTCCTGAAAGAAATTCAAGGAGGAAATCACTTAATCCTTTTCCAGTTGTATCCTCTACTTTATTGAAACCAAGGAAATGTTCCTTTACTTGAAAATTTCCAGAAATGTCTTCCAAAAATCGAATTGTAAAAGACATCTGCTCCTTATGGCTAATATCTGGAGTGCAATCAAGGATAATTGAGAAATATTTTGCATTTCTGCAGCGCTGTAAAATGTCCTCAATTACCTGTTTTGCCATAAGATTTATTATTTCATTTTGAATTGTTTTTCCGCAGTAGTGGTCTGCAGTTTCTTTTGATACCACCCTGCGTAAGTGTTCTGCCATCACACTGTCGTATTTTCCTAATAGTTCCACGAGACCTAAAAAATTTCCATTATTGGTTGTAAAAAGTCGATCTGAAGAGCCTCTGAAGGCCAGATTACGCTCTGCTAAAAACTGGACAATATTTAACAACCTCTCCATCACAGATCTCCAGTGTTGCCTTTCCCGGCTCATGAGATTTTGATAGTTTTGGTCAATCGCGTGTTTTGATTTCCGTCTCAGTTGTGTTTCAGTCCACATCTGCTGGGCTGTAAAATGACCACTGGAGGTTTCATGCGATTTCAAAATATTTGACATATGTGTCCAGTCATCTGATCCTCCAAGGGCAAGCGATGTTTTAGGATTCTTATCAAATAATTTACAAGAGAAACAGAATACTTTATTGGTAGATGAGGAGTATACCAACCATCGCCGTGTTTGTTCTTCACCACTGTCTAATTTTCTTTTGTAGAAAGCTGAAGAAAAGTGCCGATTATAAGCATCTTTTTTAAAATCAACATCTTGTACCTGTACAGGACCAACATCTAAAATACCATCAATATTCTTAGAAATCAATTTTGGCCACAAAGCAGGATCTGTGAAGCTTGAGTTTTCACATGTGCTTATTGTTTCATCAAAAGCCACCGAGCCAGAAGGTGTATTAGAATCCTCTTCCAAAGATGTTTTCGATGTTGAAGGCTCACTGAGCTTAAGATGCACATCACTTTGGCTACTGCAGCTTTCTTCATCTTTTTCTTCTGTGGTTTGTAAACCACTAGGTGTTGGTGTTCCAAAATATTTTTTGATTACTCCAGCACTCTTCTGGTCCTCCAAATCCATAAGGGCCCTTCGTTTTCGATTCTGAGCACCTGACAGTTTTTTGGGACCCATAATGCTGCTACACGATACAATAAAAAAATATATATTTAAAAGAGAGGCCCTTTTAAGTATAGATGCAAAAGAAATGCAAGATTCGCAGCAGCAGTGTACAGATAATATGAATTTCCTAAATGTAGTACGCCAACATTTGCGCCAAATAAAGTATAGATAAATAAATAAGCATTGCAGGTATTCATCAAATGAATAAGACATCCAAACCTTGTATTTCCAGGTATAGATTAAATAACATAACACATGGAAACATAACATTACATGTGTAGAACAACTGAACATAAAAATCACATGCTAACACAGTAGTGAAGATATAGATCAACTATAGATCAGCTTCAATGTCACTGTCGGGGGTCTTTGCACATTTGGCAAATTCCCAGACAGTGACAGTGCCACTTTAATAGTATAATCCACAAAGTCAGTTTATGTATTGTAGAAACAAGAGCAATGTTGTCAGTACACTATATTTAACCATTTTACAACACTAAGCATGTATAGCCTCTCCCTCATTTCTTAAACCCACGTCTTTGTTTGGCCCCCTCTAGACAATTTCAGGCACACAATATGCCGCCTTCACCCCCTTCACCAAAACCCTTGGCCACTTCTTCAATAAAACCCCTGCCCCCTTCATCAGACCCTGCCCCCCTTCATCAGATACTGCCTCTATTCATCAGACCCTGTACCCTTCATCAATCCCCAGGCTGCACCCCTTCATCAACCCTTTGCACCCCTTAATCAGACCCTGCCTCCCTTAATCAAACCCCTGCCCCCCTTAATCATAACCTGGCATCCATGCCCAGTCCCTTGCCCCCCTTAATTAGACCCAGTGTCACCCATAGCCAGTCCCAGTCCCCTGCCCCCCTTAATTAGACCCAGTGTCACCCATAGCCAGTCCCAGTCCCCTGCCCCCCTTAATTAGACCCAGTGTCACCCATAGCCAGTCCCAGTCCCCTGCCCCCCTTAATTAGACCCAGTGTCACCCATAGCCAGTCCCAGTCCCCTGCCCCCCTTAATTAGACCCAGTGTCACCCATAGCCAGTCCCAGTCCCCTGCCCCCCTTAATTAGACCCAGTGTCACCCATAGCCAGTCCCAGTCCCCTGCCCCCCTTAATTAGACCCAGTGTCACCCATAGCCAGTCCCAGTCCCCTGCCCCCCTTAATTAGACCCAGTGTCACCCATAGCCAGTCCCAGTCCCCTGCCCCCCTTAATTAGACCCAGTGTCACCCATAGCCAGTCCCAGTCCCCTGCCCCCCTTAATTAGACCCAGTGTCACCCATAGCCAGTCCCAGTCCCCTGCCCCCCTTAATTAGACCCAGTGTCACCCATAGCCAGTCCCAGTCCCCTGCCCCCCTTAATTAGACCCAGTGTCACCCATAGCCAGTCCCAGTCCCCTGCCCCCCTTAATTAGACCCAGTGTCACCCATAGCCAGTCCCAGTCCCCTGCCCCCCTTAATTAGACCCAGTGTCACCCATAGCCAGTCCCAGTCCCCTGCCCCCCTTAATTAGACCCAGTGTCACCCATAGCCAGTCCCAGTCCCCTGCCCCCCTTAATTAGACCCAGTGTCACCCATAGCCAGTCCCAGTCCCCTGCCCCCCTTAATTAGACCCAGTGTCACCCATAGCCAGTCCCAGTCCCCTGCCCCCCTTAATTAGACCCAGTGTCACCCATAGCCAGTCCCAGTCCCCTGCCCCCCTTAATTAGACCCAGTGTCACCCATAGCCAGTCCCAGTCCCCTGCCCCCCTTAATTAGACCCAGGGTCACCCTTACCTAGTCCCCTGCCCCCCTTAATTCAACCCAGGCTCACCCATAGTCATAGTTAATTCAACCCAGGGTCACCCATAGTCATAGTTAATTCAACCCAGGGTCACCCATAGTCCCTTGCCCCCCTCAATTAGACCCATGGTCACCCTTACCAAGTCCCCTGCCCCCCTTAATTCGACCCTGTATTTTATGAAAAGATTTTTGGATTAAAAATAAAAAAATAAGAACAGGTACTTACTTTGAAGTCTGCTGCTTCCTCCCTGTTGGCAGAGCACCGGCCGCCGCCCTCACACATTGAGCGGATCCTTCCGCGGCTCTCTGTGATGGCGCAGCACTTGCACGCTGCGCCTGTGCGGCTGCGCCCCCAAGCTCCTCCTCCACGCTCCGGAAACCGCAGTTCAGCTCACAGACAATCTCGGGCCGGCCAGTGGCAGAGCGACTGCGAGCTGTGTCGGCCGCCCGGCGCCCCTGTTGCCATGGCGCCCTGTGCGGCCGCACAGCTCGCACACCCCAAAGGCCGGCCCTGAGGTCAGAGTCCAGGAAATCAGTCAGTATCGAAGCAGAGATCCGGCAGGAAACACCAAACAGGCAAAATGACCACACGCTAGGTTTCAGGCAAAACTACTGGCTTTTAAAGCCTGCTAATTAGATGCAGCTGACCCTAATTGGAAAAGGGCTACAGGTGGATCAGCACTGGGGTCAGGCAGCAGAATAAGGCAGACAGATACTGAAGCACCCTGTTGGATATCATGGCAGAAAACCTGACTGGGATACTGGAGCTGTGAGTTCAAACACAGCCAGGTCTCTTAAAGGGGCAGCCACACCTTGCTGTCTGCAGGGCTCAGGCTGTGCTGTGACAGTAGTCCAAAGTCTTTAAAGGCCTGTAGAAGTTTACATTCCTTAGATACATTGCTGGAGGTTGTGTTTGTAGAATACCCAGGTATTAGTTGTATAGTATTGGTTGTAGAGTCCAGCTATCCAAATACTTGGCTAGAATTGGTTGCAGATATTGAATCAGCATCATCCGAGTGATTGATAGCCTTTCCAAGACATTGTCTTAGGTGACATGGATCCCATCATAGTAAATGCTATGTTGATACAGCAATCAAAGTGGTATCTCAAGAACACCATTTTTATTTTTTTATTCTTTATTTTAGTTGTGCAAATGTTAAACATAACAGTAGCACTGCCACAATAGCTGGTGCAAACATTTTTCATTCACAGGTGTACATATGGTTTTGAAGACATTGCACTTTTTATATAGTAAGATAATCATGCATAAAACAGAAGTTTCACAATAATATTAGGATACCAGTAGCTTGGTAATGCGCTGTAAGTTATAGTAGTTGTAGCATGCATGTTAGGGCCTGTGCAGGGTAAGACTTAATCTGTGTGTATGCTTGTCTTAATCTAGGTTACGCTTTCCTCAGAGATCTGGTCTGGAACTAGATTGGGCAAGGCGTTTCTACTGCTCGTGACCTCTTGTCTGTTGAATAGCCATTGCGGTGCGTTTCGAGTGGAAAGGCAGGTTTCATCTAGGGGAGGGTAGTTCCCTGCTTGTGAAGGGGATTGGTGGATGACCCCCCCCCCACACCCTGCTGGGTGTTCGGGCGTGGGTAGGCCCAGGGTTATGGCGGTTGGTCTGCGTGTGGGCCTTGTGGCTGTGGTCAGTGCTCCGTGTGGTCCACAGACACTACACGGTCCTTGTTGCGAGGGTGGGAGCATAACTCTGTTTAGCGGGGGGGTGGGGGGGGAAGAAGAATTCTAGTCGTGGGTGGCTTCTAGTGGTCTGCACTAGGTGCATGGCCTGAGATCGGTGCCATGTTAGCTTAGGAGGTGAAAAACATTCAAACACAACATTATATTTAAAATTAAACAATCCAATGCAATTAGCACAACAATTCTGGATAGTATCAGTTTGCTGGTCCTTGGGCCCTTCGGGATTCAGGTGGTTGTTGCCAAATAAGCCTCCGCAGGGGTTGGCGTGGAGTGAAGGGAGTGATTCTGGTTGGGTCCCGGGAGTGCGGTGTCTTGGAGGCAGTACTGGGGTCGACATGCGTTAGTCTTGTGGGAGACCTAGGTCCTGTAGTAGTGTTGTAGTGCCTTTTATATCTTGGCGCAAGTAGTCCGTACCCCCATGTTGCACCAATAGTGTACGCGGTATACGCCAGCGATAGCGGATGTTCCGTTGTTGTAAGAGCATAGGGAGGGGTCTGAATGATCGTCGCCAGGCCAGTGTGCTGCTGGACAGGTCTGCATAAAATCCTAGCGACATTCTCAAATTCCCTCTAATTGCTGTCAGAATGGCCGCTTTGTCTGTGCTGCTTTGAAAGTGCACTATTAGGTTCCTGGTTGCCGTGGCTGGTGCTTTAGCTGGCTTGGGAATGCGGAAAACTCCATCCAGGTACACTGCCTTGGCTTGTTTTGGTGGGAGCACGGCTCCTATCAGTCTCCTAATCAGGTGAGGCAATTCTGCTTCAGGTACCTCCTCTGGGATCCCTCTTATTTTTATGTTGTTCTGCCTGCGGCAGTCTTCCTGTGCAGAAAAACGAGTTTCATGAGCTTTGTTTTGGTGTTGCAGTTCTTGTATAGTCCTTTCTAGCTTTGCCGTTTGCTGGGAGCTCCTCTGGGAAGCCTCCTCTAGTGAGTCCATGCGGTCCGCCATTAATTGGGGCTATATCCGCTTGCAGGGTACTCTGTAGGTTTGCCAAGAGCCCCTTCAGGGCTGAGATAGTGACCGGGGAGGAATCCGGTTCCATCGGGGTCGGCGGTGGTTTTGCTGGCGTGGGTACGTATAAGCTTTCTTCCTCGAGGGAGACGTCATCTGAAAAGTCTGAACAGCCTCCCTAGAATGCGGCCATCTTGGGTCCGCTCGCGCCATGCGCCTGTCTCCACAGCTCGCCTATGTTCATCCCAAGATTGAGTCTGTCCGGCTTGGGCTTTTTGGACTTATGTCCCATGGTGACAGGTTGTCAGATGAGTACCCTTGGGTCAAGTTCAGTTGGGTAATTCCCGGTTTTTAGTGCTTTTTCGTCGCTTGCGGCCCAAGCCTTGGGAGTGTGCGACACTCCACCCCCCAAGAACGCCTCTTTTTTCTATATTGGAATCCTGGCAACGGTAGCTGTTGTGCTAAATATGTTAACAGGTAAAATCTGTGGAAAGATCTTTACATTTGTTACTTTTGTTACTTTGTATAATAATGATAGATGAAATAGTAACATAGTTAATCTTTCTAG